GATCGGTTTGCTTGTTTTGGTGGCCAGACTCGTGGGCACATATTCTCCCCAGGATGCCACAGGAGGCTCCAGGAGGCCCCAGAGGCCACAGGAGGTCCCAGGAGGCATCAGGAGGCCACAGGAAGACTCAAGAGGCCACATGATGTCCCAAGAGGCTCCAGGAGGCCTCAGGAAGCCACAGGAGGCCCCAGGAGGCCACAGGAAGCGCCAGGAGGCCCCGGAAAGCAACAGGAGGCCCCGAGAGGCCCCATGAGCAGGAGGCCTCAGAAGGCAACAGGAGTGGCTCCAATCCCATGTGTTTTACGTATGCTCCGACAGATTGGGCCCCACCTGGAGCACGAATGCTTGATGTGATACGTATGTTTCTATCGACTGTCCTTCTCCTGCGTATATAATCCCAAATGTTTTAATGGGGCGGCGGTGCCATGCGAACTTTCCCACTGGGGCCTTCGGTGGAGCTCCCTGTGAGGCCACGAAACGTGTGAGAGGTGTGCCGAACTCGGGCGGCGGTGCCATGCGAACTTTCCCATTGGGGCCTTCGGTGGAGCTCCCTGTGGGGCCACGAAACGTGTGAAGTGTGTTCCGAAATGGGGCGGCGGTGCCATCAAACTTTCCCACTGGGGCCTTCGGTGGAGCTCCCTATGGGGCCACGAAGCGTGTGAGGGGTGTGCCGAAATCGGGCGGAGGTGCCATGCGAACTTTTCCACCGGGGCCTTAGGTGGGGCTCCTTATAGCACCACGAAGCGCTACACGCTCACACTGTGAGAGGTGTACCGAAATGGGGCGGCGGTTCCATGCGATCTTTCCCATTGGAGCTTTTGGTGGAGCTCCCCATGGGGCCACGAAACATGTGAGGGGTGTGCCGAAATAGGATGGGCATGCGGAGAGCAGAGGCAGGGAGGGGAGGAGGGAGGAGGAGGAGGAGGAGGAGGAGGAAGAGGAGGAGAAAAGGAGGAGGAAGAAAGGAGGAACGCTGGGCGCGCGGGGCGCTGTCTCTTCAAAACGAGGGCCCAACACCGCAGGATGGTTGGGAGCAACCGTTCACAATCGACACGGGCAAAATCTTGGGAATGGCAGCTCGATCTTCTGGGCGGGCCCGCGCACAAGTACGGAAGCTTGTGCATTCATCGTGCACAGAAGTCGACGCAGATGAGGTTTCAAATATCGTTCGGCACGATCGGAATGGGCACGGAAAGAACGGAGACAGAGGCCGACAGTAGTTCGTGCCCATTCTTGGCAAGAGTCGTTGTCGATGTCGCCGCGGGCGCTGTCCATCTGAAGCGAAAGGGGTCGCCCGCCCAACAGCGTCGGTTTGGATGATATTCGTGGTTGGGCATCGTATTCGTTTCTGCTCGTGTCCAATTTGGGCGTGTGGTAATCCGTGCGCGAAGAGTGCACGCCCAGGATGGAGGCAGCGGCTTTCTGCGCGGGGGCCAGCCTTGTTGCTTCGACTGCATGACCTGCGTCGCGCGGGGTGCAGTGTGGCCGCGTTTGCGTCGGTGGCGGCGCGGCGCGCGCGGCACGTCAGAGGGGTGCCCAGTCAGCGCCCTCTGGGAGCCTGCGCCGTCGCATCTTGCCCGTGCCGGCCCGTTGTTTTTTTTTTTTTTTTTTTTTTTTTTTTTTTTTTTTTGTTTTTTTTTTTATTTTTTAAAAAAAAAAAAAAAAAAAAAAAAAAAAAAAAAAAAAAAAAAAAAAAAAAAAAAAAAAAAAAAAAAAAAAAAAAAAAAAAAAAAAAAAAAAAAAAAAAAAAAAAAAAAAAACGAAGGATGCCGAGGAAGGCGCGCAAGTCTGGATGAAAGACATGGTCGTCGATCCCACTCTGTGCGGTCAAAGCCCCCCTGCTTGGTGAGCAGACAAGTCCTCCCAAGGGACAGCATCTCCATCATCATAGGAATTATCGTCTTCGTCTCCACCGGTTCAAAGGTCATTCCTTCCTCACCTCTTTCTTCGTCCCTCCCCCTCCTTCCCTCTCGCCTTCTCTCTCTCTCTCTCTCTCTCTCTCTCTCTCTCTCTTTTTCCATCCTCCCTCATCCCGGGCAGCCTCCTCGTCGCCGTCCACGCCTCTGGTGGTTTGTTCAACCGCGTCATGCCGTAATTGGCACCAGGGGGCTCCCCCCCAGCGGAGCGCGCACGTCTCCGCTGCTCGTTCGCTCGCTCGCGCGCTGTCTCCTCGTCGTCGTGTTCAGCCTCCCTTCTGCTTTCGGGGGCGGCAAAGAGGGGGGTGATGACTGGGGGGGTGGACATCATGGCGTGGGCCATGAGATCTCCCCAGATTTCACTGTGCCTCTTCTCATTTCATTAGGTCCCTGGTCCCCCCTCTGGGCCGCGCACATGCCGCGTGTCATGATCTGCACCCCCCCCTGTTGGACACCCCCCTCTTGGCCGCTCCCGATGCTTGCGTCAGTCGTTGACTCAGCCCCGAGCGCGCAAGGCTACAGCAGCAGCCAGTTTGGCAGCGGGCCGCCCGCCGGCGGCAGCCAGTACGGCAGCGAGCCTCCCGGCGGCGGCCTCTGCGGCGGCCAACGGGGCATTCCGCACGGCAAGGCGCGCCGCCTCCCTTCTCTGTTGCGGGTATGGGCGGGTATGATGCTTCTGGACTTGGACCCCAGCATCGGTAAACGCGATTGGGTATGTTTCTTGGTGATCGTTGTCTCATGCGTTGTTTTGCCGATTGGCGCGGGCCCTCCCCTCCCCCGCCCCACCCCCATGGAGTAACTCTTGGCTCTTTGGTGTGCCTGTTTCGAGCAGGTGGAGTCTCCCCCAGAGGACACACTGCTGCAAATAGGCGCATCAAGCAGAAGTCTGGAGCCACCCCCCCCCTTCCGCCCAATGTCGAAACGCCGAATAAGAAACCATTAGCTGATTGCTTTCAGCATTCTGAGCCCACTGGGGGGCCCAAGCACCCGCAAAAAGGGATCCGAAATGGGCAGCTGCCCCTGGGGAAGGGGTGTCGAGGCCACGGCCGCTACCAGCAGCGACAACCCGGTGGCAGCCCCTGCGGCGCCCAGTGGGGCAAAGTCCCCGGGGTGGCGATTTGGCCACTCGAACACCCCCCTCTGGACCCTGGGCAGGCGTCCTCGTCGGGGGCTTGCTCCGCCTTCCCTTGTCGGGCGAAGGCGCAGCGGGGGATCGAACCAACCCAGCCAGGTCCAGTCCACCCTCACAGGTGGGGTTCGGCGACGCGGAACCCAAGGCACTCGGCGTTTGGAGGATGGCATCGAAGTGGAACGCAGAGCCCCCCACCGAGTCATCGGTTTCGTGTTCGTGTCGTGCGTGCGGGCGAGGCGAAGCTGCATTGGGCGGGAGGGAGTAATGAACCCTCCTCTGGCTGGGACGCCGCCAGACCAAAGGACGCCCGCCCCCTTCCCTGGTTGGCCGGCGGTTGCCTGGTGTGTCCCGTCGTGGAGTCCCGATGGTGTCCCGATGGTGTTCCGTGGTGTCCCGTGATGTTCGCGGTGTCCCGATGGTGTATTGGTGGTGTCCCGATGGTGTCCCAATGGTGTCCCGATAGGATGTAAGTGTGGAGAGGGGCGCGGAGGCCGAATTAGATAATCTACGGTGGAAGTTGCGAATCTAAGATGCTATCATCTCATATTGACTCGCAACAGCACCGAAAACGCTGAGCGTGGCCCATATCAGCTCCCGCTATCACGGCTACAAAGGGTGCCGCGACTGCATGGGCGAGTAGTTCGAAGTCCAGCGCAAGAGAGGTTTCTTGGTCAGAACGGCCAAAGATTTTTCTTGCGCTGGCAAGTTGTAGCCACGAGCATCGAGATCTCTCGAGTCAGTCTTGTGCCGAGCGCCCAGGATCACCATCATCATGATCATCGTCATCATCATAATCATAACTTCCAGCTCACATCACCTTCCCCAGGAAAATCGTTGATTATCCCCGCCAGACCCCCGAACTTTCCTACCTCGGGGGTATTATTATCGCCCGCACAGGGTTACTGCGCTCGGGGAAAATATCGCGGGCGCACCATAGCTATCGCAGTTGTCATAACTTGCTTCAACCCCCCAACAGCTGTCCCGTGGTGTCCCGATGGTGTTCCCATGGTGTCTTGGTGGTGTCTTTTTCCGGGCACCCGGGCACCTGGGCACCCCCCGCACCTTTGGGCACCCCCAGGCACCTCCGGGCACCCCTGGGTACCCCCGGGCACCTGGGCATCCTGGGGCACCCGGGCACCCGGGCCCAACCACCGAAATCGGCGACCCACCTCACCTAAACAGATGAATCCGCTAGGCCCCTTACAGAGGCAAGCTCTGACTGGGGAACTACTACTACTACTACTACTACTACTACTACTACTACTACTACTACTACTACCACTACTACTACTACTACTACTACTACTACTACTACTGCTACTACTACTACTACTACTACTACTACTACTACTACTACTACTACTACTACTACTACTACTACTACTAACTGCTTCTTTTTATACTTATATGTCTATTGTTACTTCTACTTCTGCTTCGACTTCTACCAATACTCCCCGTACACCGTGCATCCGTACACCGTGCACTTGTACATGCGAGAGCCGCTGGGAAAAAATGTTCATCATGGCCTCCCTGGAACGAACTTTCCAGGGAGGGTGGGTGGGTGCTGCCAACATGATCCTGGCGTCTAGTGCGGGCACGATGGACTGCTGGGCGGTCTGCCCACCACCTTCCGACAGGTAAACTAAAGAACTCAGCGTGAACTGGGGTCCCCCCCCCCCCAAAAAAAAAAATGACCTCCCTGGAACGAACTTTCTTTTCCCAAGGGATTCTTTCTCAGCGGTATTCGGTTCCACGACTCTGGAGGGCCCGGCCCGTGAGGGCATGCCAGGCGTCGTGGGTCGGGGGTCGACGCTCCGAGGTCGCGGTGCTGTGATCCCTCGGCTCCACGCGAGCTTCTTTTGCAGCCCTACCGGGGGGGCGCGCAGCAGCTACGCGCCCCCGCGGCAGCGCAGGGCGAGTACTCCAGATGTCGTAATAAAGGGAGGGGGGGTTCTCATTTCGGGGGGCGTCTCTTCCAGGCTATCTTGGAGGGCCTGGGGGGGGCTGGGGACGATGCTTTGGGGGGTTCTCCCACGGGGGAGGTCTGAAATGGCTTGTCTTGGAGGGTCCAGACCCCCTCCCTGTTATTACGAAATCTGGAGTAGTCTGTTTCGAAGCGGCGCAGGGCATGAGAGAGGAGCGAGAGTTGAGCCAGCGGCAGTCGGCCTCGGGGTGGGGGGGCCCTCTCGTCGCCACGGGTGGGCGCAGCCTCGGGGAACGAATGCAGTCGGACCCCGCAAGGGGGTCCTGGGACCGCTTCTCTGAGCCGCCGCTGACTCGACTCGCCACTGTCCGAGGGTGGGCGCCGCTCCCGCCGGCCAGGCGGCCGGGGGAAGGGAGGGAGGAAGAGACGGAGGCGGGTGGACGAGGAGGACGGGAGGAGGAGGAGGAGGAGGAGGAGGAGGAGGAGCAAAAATGGAGGGTGGACGAGGAGGACAGGAAGAGGAGGAGGATTCGGAGGAGGGTGGACGAGGAGGACAGGAAGAGGAGGAGGGGGAGCAAAAAAGGAGGGACGAACAGGAACGGGGCCTCCCAGATTGGGCGGGAGCAGACGGGGTCGGAGGATCACGCCGCATCGTCGACGCATCGGCGATGCGGCTCGATGTGGAGCCCGATGTTCTCCACGCCGCCTGCGCCGATGCATCGCTGGCGTCGTCGATGCGTCTCCGTTCCTTCGCCGATGCATCGGCGGCGCACTGGCGATGCGGCGCGACCCTCCAACCCCACCTGCTCGGACCCTATCTAGGAGGCCTCCAAGGAAGGAGGGCAGGAGGACGGGGGGGACAGAGGACGAGAAGACGAGAAGGAGGAGGAGGAGGAGGAGGAGGAGGAGGAGGACGACGACGAGGAGGAGGACGGGGGGGACAGGGGACGGGAAGACGGGAAGACGAGGAGGAGGAGGAGGACGACGACGACGACGACGACGACGACGACGGCGGCGACGATGACGGCGGCGGCGGCGGCGACGACGGCGGCGACGACGGCGACGAGGCGGGGTCCCCCGCGCGGTGCCGGCAGGACGGCCACCTCGGCATGCAGGCCGGCGCCGCCGCGAGGGGGCCGGCCGCGGATTGGGGCTCGAGGGGGCGCCGCGGTCAGCTGCGCGCCAGAGGGGCCTCTCGCCGGGGCGACCTCTAAAACAGGGCCAGGATCGGGATAACGGAGGGTCGAACGGAGGGCAACTGGCTATGGGTACGGTAGGTTTGCGTTGTGTCGACCAGCGGCGACCCCAGCGCGGGCGTTCAAGGTTGAACGCCGCTGGCGACCCAGAATCGATCGACGTTGAACGATCGGACGTTGCGGCAGCGGCCGATCGTTCAAGGTTGAACGATCCCTGCGGTGTCAAAAACCAACGCTGGGGTCGACACGACACGAACCTGCCGTAGGGGTGCGAATGGTCGGACCCTGGGGGAAGCTCACCTGCGAGCGGGGACCCCCACCCGACCACACGCACCCATAGCCTCCTCCGTCCCCCTAAAACAGGGCCAGGATCGGGGTAAATCGCTCCAGAGCGTTCCGGAGCGCTCTCAGAGCGTTCCGGAACGCTCTGGAGCGGCCGCGGCGCCCAATACATCCTCCAAGCCCGCCGATTCTCAGAGATTTTGAGTTATCCCGATCCGATTTTGTCCCGATCTTCGCGTCGTTTTAATAGCCAGGACCCCAGGTCAGGGGACCCGCTTAGTAGTTGGGCCCCCTGAGCCCCTAAGTTGGCCAGAATGCCCAAAGCAAGTGTGCCGTAGCCGGTGTTTTGTCGGGTGATTGCAGTTCCGGTCAGTGGAACGGGCGGGGGGGGCGCCGCCCCCCAGTATACCTCACTAAACCAGGTCCAACTAAACCCAGTTCTGCCAACGCCCGAGATAGACCTCCTACCCTGACACGTCGATTAGCGAGTTCGCCGTTCTCGGTTCGCGAGGGGGCGTCGCGGCCGTCATTTTTGCAGGTCCAGGTCCGTCGGTTTCGGTCCCAGGCCGTTTTCGCCAAAGGGAGGTTTGCTACAGGGAGGCTTGTCCACCGCCGAGTGACCCTTGATAGTGTGGCCCACAGGTCTCCACCCACCAAACCACCCCAACCCAACCCGAAGGGTCGGATTTACCCTCGATTTCTAGTGGGGGGGGGTCCGGGAACGTCGAAAAAACACATATGGAGCCCATACACCCCCCAACCCGAAATTCGGGTCTTCGGGTTGGGTTGGGGTGGTCTGGTAGGTGGCCCTCAGGGGTCCCGCCAGCACGGGCCGTCGCGCCTTGGGTGGCTTGCACTTGGCCCTCCCCGCGGCCCCCCCAGAAGCCGCGCACCAGAGGCCACCCTTGCCCAGCGTGGCTCTTGCGCGTGGGCGGCTCTTGCCTCTTGCCGGGGCGGAAGGGCGGAGGGAGGAGGGGAGGGAGGGAGGGGAGGGAGGGAGGAGGGGGGGGGGAGGGGGGGGAAGGGGGGGGGAGGGAGGGGAGGAGGGGACGGAGGGGAGGCGAGGGAGGAGAGGTAGAGAGGAACGGACGGAGGAGGGAAGGAGGAGGGGAGGGAGGGATCGGCGCGGGGGGTCCCACTGGGCCAGGTTTTCCGACATCTTGGTTGGTTCTTGGAGGTTTTCTCGCCTCGGGATGCGTTCCATCAGCTGCTTCTCGTGGAGGGCGTTCCAACGGTGCCCGGATCGCCCCGAACGGCCAGCGGAGACGCGAGTTGTAGCCCAGATACTGTCTGGGATCGGCGCGGGGGGTTCTAAGGGGACAGGGGGGTAAAGCAGGGTTCGCTAGGGACTGGTTTCCTCCCAAACAACGAAAACCCTTCCAAAACCCTCCCGGAACCCTCCGAAAAGCTTCCTGGAACCCTTCCTGGAGGGTTGTCGGAGGGTTTCGGGAAGGCTTCGGTTGTTTTCAAAGCAAAACACTCCCTGGCGAACCCTGGATCATTGGGTGATGAGTTATGTCTGGCCTGGCCTGCCTTAAGTAGAGGCTACAAATGCACCGAGCTGCTCAGGGGGAGGGAGCCTGGCTAAGGGGCCGACGCCCAGGAGTCATGTGACCCCTCGAGGCCACATGGGGCATGAGTAACCTCATAAGTAAGATTAGGCCAGACAGAACCCACCTCTGGATCCTCGCTGTCGCCCCCCCGCGCGCAGATCCAAGAAATCCGCGCGGAGCGCCAAAATCTTGTATCGATGCCGTTTTGCTTTCTTCTAGATTTGGGGCGTCGGCCTCCCGCGTAGGGCCGCGCGCGGGCGGCTTCGCTTCCCAGGCAGCGTTTGGCGCCGGCGGCCCGCGCGGGCCGCGGCGCGAGGTCGCTATGCTGGGGGGGGAAGGAGAAGCGACACCAGCACCACCAGGGGGCCACCTCCTCCTCCTCCTCCTCCTCCTCCTTCTCCTCTCCTATCCTCTCCTCCTCCCTCCTCCTCCTCCTCCCTCCTCCCTCCTCCTCCTCTCCTCCTCCTCCTCCTCCTCCTCCTCCTCCTCCTCCTCCTCGGCGGTCCACGGTGCCTCTCCGAGCTGGGGCGAGGGGATGCCTCGAGCGAGAGGGGGGGCCACACCACCAGGGGGGAGACCCCTCCGCGGCTCCTCCCGCCGGTGGCCTCCGGCGGTGTTGGCGCCGGTCTGCCATGCTCCCATGTTCAGGAGGGGAAAAAACACACAGACACAATTAATCGGCGATCCCCAGGAAATATGGGAAAATATGGGAAGTGGGGGGGGAGACAAAAACCCAGAAAATATGGGAAAATATGGGGAATAATTTTATTTGTGTGTATTTATTTGTGTGTCCTAATTTCCCTTTACATGTGTCACCTCGCGTGGGTCGAGGAGCAAAAAGCTGCACGAGCACGGAGCTGTCGGACCTCCGCGCGGATGTTCTGGGGTCGGCGCACGGGCCCCCGTCGGTGGCGCCTCCAGCCCCTGGCGCGCTCCGCGCGCCAGGGGTCCGGCGCCGATCTGCGAAGTCCGCGCGGAGTTCCGAAAGTGTATGTGTCGAGGGTGGGCAGAACCCCCAACAGTGACACGTCGATTAGTGAATTGTCCGTTTTCGGTTCTCGAGAGGGCGCCGTGGCCGTTATTTTCCAGGCTTGCGCCCGCCAGGTTTGGGCCTCAGGTCGTTTTCACTAAACCACGTTTTACTAAAGGGGGGTCTGTCCATCCCCGAATGTGCACGCAGCGTTAGGTGTAGCTTTTAGCGGAAGAGGTTCGCTCTCGCCCCGCCGACCAACAATGTGTACGCAGCGGCTCTTCCTGAAGGAAGGCGTGGCTACGGAAGGCAGTGTGCGCTGGAGGGGGGATGTCAGGAAGCACCAGGGACGCAGGCCGCGGCGCAAGGTCGTTGTGCCACCTCGCGTGAGGCACGTCTCGTTGCATCGCGCCCGTTGCTGCTCCCCGTGCGCTTCGCGCCGACCCGGCCGCGCGGGAGGCCACGGGCATGCTGCCGCAGGGCGGCGGGTGCGACGCCCAGCTGGCCATGCAGCAGATGGCGTACATGCACAAGGCGGCCCCGCGCGCCCGTGCGGTCCCCGGCTAAATCGAGGCAGAGTCACAATCTCAGGGCAATGGCAGCTGAAGTCGAAGCCGATCATTCTGTTCAAGCAGAGCGCTGGCCCCCCCCTCTCCTGGGAGGGTGCCTGTTTCGTGCTGCTGCAGTGGCAAACGCATCGACGAAACATGCAGGGGAAGCGGCCAGAAAGGCAAGGGGAAACGGGAGAGAGATCGATCAAGCTACGCCCTGCGTGGCGCTGAATAAAAAACAGCGCTTTGCTCGCAAAGGACAGGTCGGGCCGTCGGACCCTGTTTTCGGGTCGGGCGAGACTCGACATCCAAGGTTCTCGGACGTTCTTGGCGGTCTTGCAGCTCCAGGATGCTTTCCAGCAGGTGCGCCTCGCCGAGGGCGTTCCAGGGGTGCCAAGGTCGTCCCGAGTGGGCGCCGGGGAGACGAGGTACGATCCGAAAACCAAATAACGAGGATTACTCGGGTCGGACAAAGG